AATAACGTCGTGCCAAGGTAGTAAAGCCTCCTGGAGTAGGAGTTATTAAACTCAGCCAGAGCTGCTATTTGAGGAAAACAGGTCACCAGGAACGATGCACACATTTGTAAAGTCAAAGTGTGCCAAACAGTTTCCATCCTGATCACAAACTTGGGAGAAAGTGGAACAGCAGTTCAAAAAATAGCAGGAGAAAGCAAAGCTTTCCCCCAGATTTAGATCCCCTGGACATGTTCTGAGCTGAGATAAATTCCTTGTTCCACTGACTTCAACACACTTCAGACAACTTGTGATTTTTGCAAATTTACTTCCTAAAATGGGATTTGGGGAGTGGGAAGGATGTGAGGAATAGAAATGTTATGGCACTAATGTTTGTAAGTCACAACAAAGCTTTTTACCACTCGATTATCAGGTTAATGGAAATAATAATCACTTTTATCCAGCAAATTTCCCATCTGGAGGAAGGTAATGCATTGGGATATGTTTGATCTCTGAATATCTTTCTGGAATTTCTGTATTATTCTGTTTATTTTGTCAGTTTGGAATAAAGTCTAAGCTACAGAAGGGCATAAGAATTGTAATTCTACAGGTTTAAATACCTCCAATTCGCAAATTTAACCTCTGCAAAACACCCACTATTATTTGAGATTTATTCTGCCAAGGACGAATCTGGTCTAATTCACTTTATATTGTTTTAAAACCAAATCACCATGTCCTTTTTATACAGGTTTTATGCTGCTGCTTGGAAACCTTCATCTGTTGAGTCTCATACACAGTCTCACCACTTTTAAAAAATAATCAACATAAATAAGAGTTACAAATAATTTCAATAAATCTAGATTTATGATCATTACGTCAAGAATAGGAAACTTTCCCCACTTTGCCTTGTTCCCATCTTATTTCTTTGCTAAATAACCTGCATCCCCCCCACCAGCATTTACTTTCTACATTTATATTTGTAAATTTGGGGGGAATAAAATAAATGGAAAGAAGTGGGAAGACATGGAAAAAAGAAATGGAAGAATGTCAGAGAAAAATGTCATTTTTTCCCACATTATAGTTACAGAAAAAATAAAAGTACACTTGGAATTCAAAGGATAGAAAAAGTCCCACTTCGTGACATTTAATAAGAGTAAATTATTCTGGGTGAAAAACGTGTTTTCCCCCCAAGCTTTTTTTGCAGTACATAATTGTGAAGCCAAAACAGATACTTTAATTATATCTGCAAAAAATATTGTTTTCACACCTTAATTCGTTATCCAGAAGGAAAAACTTAATGAAGGGCATCCTTCTTGTGTCCATCTTTCTTTCAAATAATTTTAATGGCAAACTTTAAATGAAACTAACCTCTGCTTTGGAATTATTAGAAGAAAACTCATCTAATGCCCTTTATCAAGGAAGATATTTGAGCATTGACAATAAAATATTATAGAAAATAGCAACATTTATTTTTCATAGACTTTTTGTGGCACTTGAACGCACAGAAATTCTGTTTTGATGTAAATAGTGGCAGCAAAAGCTCAGAGATTCCTCACAATTGGAGGTGTCTGGAGAAAAAGGCAAAGTAGAAAATACTGATGTGATATTTTATTGCCTACAACAGGTAAGATCAGAGAATGATTGTCCAAGGAGAGTCTGCATTCTGACAGCAAAAATAATAAGGAGCAAGTCTCAGAAATAAAACTGTGTGGCTAAAACACAGCCTCTATTTTCACATGGTTTTGTTACAATCAGAACTTAAAAATGTGCAATCAAGAATTAAAAACATTGGTTTATATTTTAAGTCTGAAACCAGATCAAGATAAAATGGCTAATGTTAATGAAAGGAAAAAACCCTCCACCTTTATCGCCATCATCATTATTACCATCATCATTTTCTTATCCATAAAGTCCTTTTCTTCCTGACTCAAATCAGGAGTAAAACCACAGGTATGAAATATTTTGGAAAGCAGGAATGTTGGACCAAGACAAAGCAAACTGAGGGGACCCAGATAACTGCAAAATCAGAATATTTCAGAAAAATGCTTGTTTAAACCAACAAGAACAGAATGACACATGCAAATGCCTGCAAAGGAATGTCAAAGTGCTGAGCCACACCAAGAACCTCACAATGTAATTATGTAATTTCTGATAAAAACTTAACATTTCTGAATTATTTCATCCCATTTACCAGTTATTCATTATTATTTCATCCCATAACCAGTTTACCCAATAACTCTTTTATCCAATAACCAGTTACCCAATAACCCTTTTACCCAAAAACCAGTTTACCCACTAATCCTTTTCCCCAATAACTAGTTTACCCATTAACCATTTTACCCAAAAACCAGTTTACTCCATAACCTGATACATGGTCAGTGTGTGCAGAGACAAACACTGATATATCTCCCCTTGACTTCAGGTTTTTTCAGCTTAAGTAACACACTATTTTTAATAAAATATATTAAATATATATATGAATATATTCCATATAACACTGCACATCCATTATTTTTCCTATCAGATTAGGACCTGCTTAACTCTTCCCCATCTCCATTCCATCTGGAGCTTTCCCAAATGATGCCTCCCTCTTTTTTCTCCCATGTCCCAAGGGTTTCTTTGTCAGAGTGAAAACACTCTGATAAAGAGCATTTGGCCCTATCGAGGCTCTCTCAGATCAATGACTCAGACATTTTACATTCACATCTTTTTTTCCCAATCTGATTCCTGACTGAAGAACTCCTCATGTATCAAAAATCTCTGTTAGTCCCTCAGGACGTGACCTTGTAACTGTGCTATTAAATTTCATCCACTTTTTAAATGCTTTCACCTTCAGAATTACTTAATTCTGCCAATTTTAGAGGCTGTACTTGAGATATTAAACTTTTACTCCTCACAAGCCAAATTAATTCTGAGCAACAGCTGAAGACCAAGAGAAATCCTGGTTTTCCCTAACATCAGGTGCCAGGGAGTCACACCTTTGGTAATATCTCCATTGGACATCATTTCCTAACATGCAGAAAAAACAGAGCTGTAATTCCTACTGTCCAGAAAACCAGAGAGGAGCTGAGAAGCCACAGCTCCAGTTGGGTACCAGTGAGTCACCCAGCAAATACAGGTATTTTCTCACAATTACAGCCCCTCCAGGCTCTAAGACACTGGTGACTCACCAGCAACAAATGAGGTTCCTACAATTTTTCAATTTTCCAAATGTCTACTGAAAGAAATCCCCCAGAACCCTGCAAAGGTGTTTTCCTCTGCCCAAACAGCTCTAAGAGACAAGATCCAAGTGCTATAATGTCCTCAAAGATCTTTGAAACACTCTAGACCTGAAACAATCAACAGCACAGGGAGTTTCTGAGGTTTTCCTGAGATATGAGACACTCTTGATTGCTCTCAGGAGTTCAGCAACGTCCAAAAACATTCAGTTTGGGAGTGGCGGGTCTGCTGACATCTCTTGATGTGAAGAGCAATGAATGTTTATGACAGAGTCTGTTCTTAGAAAATACAAAATTCAAGCAAGTTAACAAGCTTCCTTAGGCCTGGAACCAGGCCAGGCTTAAACACAACTGTTGGATAGATTAAAAGCTTCTGTTGGAAATGTTCTTAGAACTTTCTTTTTCCAACTAAGACGTAAATTTAGCTACTAGATTTTGTTGAATAATTGGGAATTTAGTTCAATTACTGTAATAATTGACAAAACCACAGACCCTCCTCATGCCAACAGGGACAGCAAAGTTCATTAGCAGGGAACAGCTCTGAGCTTTGCTTATGGAATGCTCAGGAATGTTTGTCCACAAAAATTGGGAAAACTGGTAATTTCAGTCTGGGGTTGGGTTAATTCTGGACTAGGCTGAGTTTTACAAGCAGAAAGCCACAGTGCACTTCTCCAAGGACAGGCTCTGCTATCAGCAGAGAGTCACCAAGCACATAACTTGGCCAGAATCTCCCAAAAGCTCTGAAGAGTTCAAGAGAAAAAAAATAAAATCTAATCTTGTTGCATAAATTAAAGCTTTACTAAAATACTATAAATTAATTGCAATATTGGCCAGACAGTTCCAAGTATTTCTAACTGCTCAGAAGATCCTGGAAACCGGCGTCAAGGATAATCTTTGATCAAACCACACAGAGGGGAAATAAATTACTGATTTTATAGAAGAGTATTGGGAAGATCTACAGGCTGAACATACAGATATTTTCAGTAGGTTAAAACTGCACATGCAGAAGTATTTTATGCAGAGAAAGTGGTGCTGGCAGAAAATGGGAACATCCAGAAGTGCATTGGAGTTCCAAACTGAGGCATTAAACTCCTTTCTAACAAGCCCCAAATCCATGGATATTTTTCCATTGGTGAGGATCCCTCTTCCAGAAAACAATTACATAATTCTAGTCTGGATAGAAAAGCAAAGTCCCCGTTTTATGCAGTGCAGCATGGGAGGGGTAGAGATTTATTGTTCAGTTCTTTACCATTTCCTTTTCAAAACCATTGAAATGTTGGTCAAATTCCAGCAACAAATTATAGAAACTTCCTTTTTTTTTTTGTAAACAGCACCAAGAAACACCAGCAAATTGATACTTCCTCCCTATTCTGCCGATGCAGGCTTTTTAACTGTTCTGAAAAGCACCAAAACCATTTAAATTCTGTTCAAACCAGCATTCCATCAGGTTACACAGAAAGTGTTTTCAACATATCAGATTAATTACTGGAAAACAAACTGTCATATCATCACTGACCAGGGTTCTCTCATTTGTTACTTTTCAATTTTATTTATTTATCTTAAAATGTCACATTGTAGATTTTGGTCATTGATTTACACTCAGTTAATGTACAGGATCCATCTTCCGCCATGTCACAGAATCACAGATCTTTGCTTTTTGCTAAAACCCTTCACTAAAATTTCTTTAAATCATGCAAAAAAAAAATACACTCTTAACAGAAAATACACCATTGCATTGCTGCAAATACAAATATTTTTCACTTTTGGCAATTCCAGGTGAATAAATGTAAATATTCCATCACTTACTTTGGTAGAGTTTTCAAGTGGTTTTCTCTTAACTCCAAAATTCGCAATTTGACAAGTCTAGAAATAGGATAAAAAATAATGAGTTCATTCAGTGAATTAGTTCAGGCATCCATAAGAATGATTTAAAATTACTTATTTCAATAAAGGAAGAGTCTGTTTCATGCACTACAGTCCAATGATCAGTTCTTCTGGGGTACAAAATGTGTTCAGAACCAAATAATTTCATGTAAGGACAGACACACTCAGGCAGAACATGTCTGTCCTCAGTGAAACTCTTCTGAAAAGCTTCGACAGAATTCACCTAATAGCACAATGGAGTTTGGAAGGGCTGTTGTGTGTAGGTTCTAATTCATATCAACACTCAGCACATGTCCTACTTCTGCTAAAAATACTGTAAATTAAAAGGAGACCTGCGAGGGGTTGTAGAATTTGCAGAAAATTTCAAAGGAACTTGTGAACTGAAGAGCAGCGGCTTTTTATCCTTCAGTAAACCTGGAAATGCTTGAGAGAAATGAAATTTTACTCTGTTTACTTTGCTCAAGTCATTAATAAAATAGTTTGGAGTTACTGTGAAAAGCTGGTATATTCCAGCCTGGCTCAGCTCTGGGTCAGGGCCAGGCCTGTGCCACAGCAGCACTTGATTTCCCCAGGTCTGAGCAGACCAACATCACTTACAGCCTCAGGATTAGTTTTAGAGTGCTGGGTTGGTGTTCTCACTTGAACCATAAAACATACAGGACGGATAAGTATAAAACTGGTATTAGGTGAATTCTGTAACAATGTCAAATATTTTCTCTGTTCATCTTTTGTCTTCTGAGCTCTGTGGCCAGGTGGACAGTCCAGAGGCAGAAAGGCCAACCATCACCTTCATCATGTGGAATAAACTCCCCATTTCTGCCACAGTTGGGCAGGGTAGGGATCCACCAGCTCCTCCTGCCCCCTTTTATGGCAAATTGGGTCAACTTTGAATTCTACCACCTCTGCTTTGTCCTTATCTAACATTTTTTGGCTCAGTTTTTGCTGCATTTATTTTTACCCTCATTCTCCAGCCCTTCTGCTCCACTGTCTTTTGAATCTTCTCTTGTTCTGGTTTCACATGTTGCCTTTCAGTCCTTTCTTTCTTCCCTTCTGACTCACAGCTTTTATCTTTCAGCCCATTTTTCAATGGCAGAGCCCATATTGCTGTTTTCTGCCCTTGCCACAACTGAGTCACACATTTGATGAAGGACAGTCCCCTCCAAGTTCTATTTCTTCTCACCTTTTCCCTCAACTGCCAAACTGCATCACTTCACCACCACATTATTGCTGACACAACATTCCCTCTACAACAATCATTCATCAAAATTGTGCTGAAAAGCCAAAATCTGTTTTTTGTTTAGTTTTTCAAGAGAAGGTAGATTTAAACCAGACCCTTAGAGCCTAAGCCAGGTTCAAATGCACGATCACTGTGCTTTGATGACTCATCCTTACCTTCCAAAGTTAGCTGGAAGAAACTCCAAAAAGGCATCATTTAGATAGAGCTGGGTCAGATTTAGAAGTTGTGTGAAGCCATCTGGCAGCCTAAAAAACAGCAAAACCCTTAATGCTCACCTCAGCGTTGCCATGGAAATAAAACAATGTATATTTAGAAGAAGAAAGGTGACTTTCTCTCTCACCTTCTTTGTCTATCCAAATTCTCCAGAAGAACTTACTCATTACAGACAATTTTGTTCATTCTCATCTTCTCCACATTGCAATAACCACATTAAATAGCCTTTTCCTCCTTCCTAGGTAAGGGTTTAAGCCAAAGGTGTCTTTCTTTCTTTCTTTCTTTCCTTTCTTTCTTTTTCTTTCTTTCTTTCTTTCTTCCTTCCTTTCTTTCTTTTCTTTTCTTTTTCTTTCTTTCTCTCTTTCTTTCTTTCTCTCTCTCTCTTCCTGTCTCTCTCTCTCTCCCTCTTTTTCTCTCATTCTTTCTCTTCCTCTTTCCCTCAATTTTTTTAAACTGAAGTAGTAAAATTTCATCCTTTTCCTCCTTCATTCCATTTCATAATTCCTAGCTTTACAAACCAGATTTTTTGTTACTATTATTACAACTTCTTGGAAGGGAAAAGTGTCATCAAAGCCCCAACCAAGAGGTTTTCAGTGGCCAAACACATGAAACCTCAGCCTCTGTGCTTTGCCAACTCTTTCTCTGCTAAGTGGAAAGATCCCACATCCATTAACAGAGGACTTGGATCTTCCAATAGACTCATCCCCTCTGGGTTTGAAACAATTAAAAAGAAAGTTAGATTAATCCTGCAAATGAACTTGACACAATTCCTTTAAATCTGAGCTTATTTTTCTGCACCTACAGAATGCAAATCCAGCTGCTGATACTCACTTGGACACGGGGTTCACACTGGCTTCGATAATCGTTAAACATTTACAACACTTGATATTTTCTGGAAAATCTTGAATTCCTAAAAAAACACGGAAAGAATTATTATTTACACAAAAACCTGTTTATTTGTTTTGTTCATAAGTGAGTTCATTTGGTATTTTCAGATCAGACTTCCGCTCCAACAGGAGGGATACACACATTGAGTATTATAGTTTAAAAGTACTTAAGCCCTAAATAAACACACCAGAACAGAATCTATGCCTTATACTATGGCTATTATGCTAATGCTTGATTTATATAATCTTCTAGAGTTAAATAGTGACATCATCTGTACTGGTATTTGTGCCTTTCATTTCTTCCCAAATGGCTTCTCTTTGTCTCTTCCGAGAACACAGAGAATCCCGAGAGTCTCGAGGACTCCACTGATAAGAAATTTCCCAACATTTTCAGGAGTGCCAAAGCATCATTTTTAAAACAAAGACACTTGAGTTCAGGCTTGCAAAGGTTTTTAGGCACATAAATGTGTAAATGCATAACTGGGGATGCACATCAGCAAATTAATCTATATAAATCCTGGAATTCTTTACCCACAACCCCATGTGCTTAAATCCTTCACACAAGAGCCTAGTGAGTTCCAAGCCACTTTGGGAAGTGGAACAGTTCATAAGTGCACTGAAAAGTGGCCTCACACTCCTCTTGCCAATATTTTTTGGGCACAAGTCATGTGATGCTAAACCAAAGTCTGATTTTTAAAAGAAAAATAAACAAGGTAGATCTTTATGGAACCTTCTCCAAAGTGCCAGGCCATAATCCAGACCCAGACCACGAGGTTCTTAACCATTAGGAATTAAAACTTCATTATTGCTCATATTCACCACAGTTCCTTAAGACACTTTGGATGTCTCACCATTTTTACTGATATCAAGCTCTCTGAGGTTCACGAGGCTGGCGATGGTGGTGGGGAGGCTGGACAGGTCGTTGTCAGGGATGCTCAGCTTCCGTAAAGCCTGACAGTTGAACAGTTGCTGCAATAAAAAAAAAAAAAAAAGACGATTTACAGAGTTTCAGGGAAAACAAACAGTTTGAGATCATTATTTATACACAGAATGGTCCCAGGCACGGCCAGGAGTTGGACTCGATGATCTTTGTGTGTCCCTTCCAACTCTGAATCTGTGAAATACCACAAAACTCCACTTGCTCCAGGAGAATTCAATCCTCAAAACATATTTTTTTCGAGAATACATTCTTACAGTCAATGGGAATAACCCAAATTAGCAGTGGCAATGGTAAAGAAGAGCCTTCTGTCCAAAACTGCATAGTCATTGCAATCAATGTTTTGTAAGTATTTATATTATTACATCATATATAATAATTATACATTATTGATCTGTTTTACATGTTTCATATCAATTGAAAAAATTTTGTGTCTTGTGGTAAAAAATATTTAATTTCATTACATATTTTTCATTACATATTTTAATTACATTTTGACTGCATGCAGATTAAATTAATTATCTTCAAGGTATAAAAATGCTCTGACATTAATACAATGATATATTCTTTCTATTCCCCCTCAAAATTGAGGACTTGATTCTTACTTTTCATTCAAATTCTTATTTTATAAAAGCAGGTCCCCAGTTTTCACCAGAAAATTCAGTGGGTTCTGGAAAACAACTGCTCTTTGCAAGCATCTCACAAGGGTCCTTCCAGTATCAGTGCAGTTCTCATCAGATTTAGTCTTTCTCATAGACTTATCTGTGAGAATAAAGTCCATAAACTCGCTCACAGCCTATCTGGGAATGCAAAATAATTTGATTTCCTAGATGGAAAACTCAGCCAAGAATCCAGGGAGGAGAAAACTAACATCAAAAGGGCTTGAAAATGGCCACTTGTTGCTTCACTTCAAGCAAATTTTAAAACAATTTGAAATATTTCTGAGGTAACTTTCTATGATAATCCTTTAGAAAAATTTTGCTTTTCCTTCAAAATGACCAGTTCTCAGAAAATGGGAAGGAATCATGTGAATAATGAATACTCAGGATGAGAAGCACAACCCAAGAGGGATAGGAGAACCCATTCCATGCAGGCACTTTCCACCTCATCCACAGGAAATCTCTCTCTGGAGAACAAGGAATTCCTTTCCAAGAGCACCTGCTTTTCCTTTTGTAAGGAAGCACATCATTTGGGATGAGTCTGGAAAGTACCATAAGTAAGAGGCTCTGGAGGTGGCCCTTGTTCTACACAAGAGCAGCTCCAGACCTTGGGGATGTTCAGCAGGAGGAACCTGCAGGATTTTGATACAAATACAAACCAGGCCAAGGTTTGGGCAGAAAATTTCCTGAGTTAAACTCCACAAAAGAAATACCGTATGGAAAATGAAATGCCCAGTGCACATTCCCAGCCATTCCCTGGAGAATTCTTATTTCAGAAGCCGAGGAAGGTTTGGAACTCAGAGTTCTGACACTGTGTGAACACATCCAAGGCTTTGGAACTGCTGAAGGAAGAGGTCTAATAAAAAATATTCCCTCTGGAGTGATTTGAATGATATACTGTTGTATCAGAAAGAATATAAGGGTGGGGAACGTAGGCCCAAAATTGCCCACTGGATGGCCAATTTTTTCCCCCATTGGATGTTCCAAAGGTGTTTTTCTGAGTTTCTGGAGCTTCCTGGCCTTGCCATCCTGATTTGGTTGGAACCATTGCTCTGGATATCCATACATGACTTAAATTCCTTTCAGAGTAAAACTCAAGAGGTGTTCATTGAGATTTAATTATAACAATGGACTTTTATTCTGAATATCTCAAGTCAGAAAGGCTTTGGCTGTTCCAAAGGTTCCTGGGGAGAATTTTCATCCCACTCCTGTTTTTCTGGATGTTGATTTCCAGTCACTCCACCTTCATTAAGATCAATATTCTTTTTTATTAGTCATCCATTCATTTGACTCACCCAAATAAGGGACATTTGTGCAGCAGCAGCTCAAGATGATGAATTCAAAGGCAAAGAAAATAAAGACTTGGCAAGATTTAGGGGAAAATAGGGTAAGAATTATATAACAATCCTGCAAATCCTTCAAAGAAAAAAGGAATATAAAAATTACAAACTAAACCCTAATTTCTAATGAAGTAACAGAAAAATCATAATTATGATATATCAAATGTAAGGTAAAACCGAAAATAAAAGCAGGCAGAATGAGTTGAATGCATCAGCTTAATGCAAAATAATTTATTGAGTTCTAGAGTATCACGTAGCAATGAAAGCAAGTAGGGTAGATTGGGACTTAACAAGTTTTTAGCAGTGCTTCTATAATTTTTATAATTTTTATAATTTTATCATTATATTTTTAAACATGATCAAGTTCAAGATTATAAGGAATTTCAAAAAAATGTTGTAATATCAGAGGCACAAAACATCTGGCAAAGAATGGAAAATTAACAAAAACGTCCTGTGGAAGAAGTTATTTGAAATCCTATTTACAGAGGGGCTAAAGTTCTGCCTGTGGTAGAATGCCACATGTAATACAAAGTTAATGGTAAGTAATATAGTGCCATTTTCAGGAAAAAAAATGCCATTTTCTCCCAAAGAATATTAATTAAACAGTGGAAAAAAGGTTCAGAGCCATGGGGCAAAAATATCTGAAGCAGCAAATTTGATAAAGAAATTATTTGGGCTGTTTAATTCACGGTAATGATTAATAAAGGCTTAAGACAAAAATGATCACTAGTAAGAAAACAAATTAACTCTTATTAATCTTCTCTTACACACGGCCAAGACTGTGATAAATGCTGTGTTTACGATAAATTAAAACTAAAAACTATCACCTTCCTAATTTTTGCCTCCTTCCCTTTGGTCGTCAGTTTTCCCATATGGAATCATGGCATTATTCTGTGCCCTGCTCTATTTGTCTTCCATCAGTCACTGCAGCTCAGTCTGAAAACCACTTTGATACTTCCAACCCAAAATACATATATCAAATTATAAAGATCCAGCCCAAAAATACCCAAAATCCCTACCTAAATTAGACATTTCCAATATTCTTCTGTAGCACAATGAAACCATGACATAAAAGAGAGCTGGATCTCAGGGATCCATCAGCAGCAAATGGTCTCCACCAGGACCCATTTCATGTTTATGGGAACAGAAAAAACTCCTGGTTCTCTGTTTTCTTCTCTAGGAGGGATCAGGCAGCTCTTCACAGCCATTTTCCCCCATGAACTAAAGCTCCTGGAGCTGCCCTGCCTTTCCATCTGTGCAGAACTGGGGATGGAGTCAATGACCTCAAGCAATGGCCCATCACATCCCAGTAAAGCAACTCCATGGAATAGGAAAAGCACATTTTCTACATTTGGAAATAGAATTTCTAGGAAGTCTCTGTGCAGCCTAACTGAGAAATGTGCTGTGAAATGATGGAAAGTGGATTACAGGGGACAGTGTTTAATTAAAGACTTGTGAGCATCTTTCATTATTGTGGAGAGAAATTCAATTACGGGCTGGATTACATCCCTTCACGCTTCATTATGTAGCCAGCACCTGCCATTAATTGGTTTTTCCACCACCTTGCTCTCTTTTGTTTCCAGAACACTTAAGTTACAGTAACTTTTAATTCCTCCTAGTAAATATTAATCAGCAGAAGAAGAGATTGAAAGATTCCGTAAGAGGAATTTTACTCAGGAAGGATAACTTAGGTGATCTCATTGCAGTTGTGAAACTCCTACTCAGCACTGGCACTTCCCAACAAAATCACAAAATATTCTGAGTTGGAAGGGTCCCACTGATATCCCAGAAGGATAAAGGGCTCATTGTGACAGAGACCTTCCTTTGAAAAGCAAGGATAAAAAGGATTCAAATATAGTGGCTCCTGATCAAGCTACCAAATGCCACAGGAATAACTTGTGCAGAACCATTTCTTTTGGACAGTTGTTCAATTCCCAGTTTAAGGCTCCACTGTCCGTGTTCCTCTGCTGGGAAGGAGTCATCAGTGCTCCTGCTCTGCCCTATCCAGCATGGAGTGTAAGGATGAGGGTTTGGCTGCTTGGGCTGTTCGAGAAGGCAGGAGAAACTGTACAAAGTTGCCCTTGAACCCCCAGAGCCACCAGCCCCTCTTCCCCTCCCAACAAGTTGTAACTGCAATGAGGTCTCCCCTCAGTCTCCTCTTCTCCAGACTAAAGGAGCCATCGCTGTCCAACACACATTTTAGGACTCAACGTTGTCTTCCAGCAGAACATGGATTACCTTGGGTAGCTCTTCAATCTGGTTGGCATCAAGGTAAAGCTCCTCCAAGGTCCTCTCAAAATTAAAAACCTCCTTTGGCACCTGCTGCAGGCCACAGTGAGAGTAATCCAACACGGACACGATCTCTTCCTCCCCTCGGAAACACCGGCACGGCACCAGGCGGCCGATGATCTTCCTTTTGGTTGTCATCTCCAAGCAGCATACTGAAGAAAAAGGGGAGAAAACACAGGTTACTGAAACCAACAGCATTTTGGGGACTCTTATTTAGATTTATCATCAAGATTGCAGTCCATAAATACAGTTTTTCTGAGGGATCTCTGTAGTCTGCATTCTGCAGCTCTTGTTTTACCTTTCTCCAGAACATGGAGAAGTGTGATTTGCCAGTGGAACCACAAAACACAACCTCAACCCAGCAGCTTTTCCCTACACCAGGACAGAAGGAAACACTCCAAGCCCAGCCACAACCATTGCTTGGTTTAACAGTGAAAATAACTGTGTGGAGGCACAAGTACAAGCACGTTCATCAAAGCACAGAGGGACGTGTCAGTCCCTGGATCATGAGTCACGGTGGTGAATCAGGCAGAGGTTCTGATTCTCCCTGAGAAATTAGTGTTAATATCTAGTTCCTCTGACACCAGCAGAGTTCCTCAGCTTCCCACAGCCACTGCTGAGGCATTTCCACTGAGTCCTCAACCAGAGGAATAAAGAACACCAATTTCCCTGCTTACAGAACCAGAACAAACACATCCCCAGAGCAGGTGTTTGGGTCACCTGCCATTCCTGCTCCTCTTGTACCGCCTTGGGCTGCTGAAAACTCACAGAAAGGACTTTTTCTACAGTAAAATAGATGTCTAGGAAGTTTCCCCATTCCCAAACTTCTCCCATCCTCGATGCCAAGTGCTGCAGACGGTCCCTCAGTTTGTGTGAGCACCTCTAACTCCCTCGAGTGAGTTTACAAAACTGGGTCTTATTATCTGTCACTGGAACAAAACACTTTAACTCACCACTGCAGAATGGAGAGAGCAGTCAATAAGTAGATTTTATAATGTCAGGCAGTCCCTAAATCTGGAATAAATATTGACATCTTGAGAAGTTATTTTAACATTATAGATAAATCAGGCTGTCCTGGAACATGTTATCACAAAGGCAAGAAGGGCTAAACATTCAGCTCCCATTTTCTAAACCACTTACAAGGCTTTGAGTTACATTTAGGGAAAAAATGCACTAAATTAGTCCAAGTAAAGCAAAATAAGGCTTGCCATTCCCTCAACACCAATCTGTCCCTACTGATACCTGCACTGCACCTTTAGCTCCAGAAATCTTCCCAAATCATTCAGTTGAGTGCACAAGACCAAAACAGATGAAAACTGACAGAGCACTTGTCCTACAACACATAATTCCCAACGAGAGCCACCTCTGGAGCTGCCCAACCTCTTGGGATTCACATCCAGGAAGCAACGTAATTCAAACCCTGACAAAGTAAAAATAAATGCCCTTGGAATAGCAAATTATTTGTAGCTTTTCAAGCCATTGGAGGATAATGAACAACTGAACAGTGACACGGACTTCAAAAACTCCTTGGCAAACCCTTCTTCCCACAGGAATTACAAAGCACTTTGCTGGGCTTTATTCTCCTCTGCTGTGGGCACAGGCATCAAACACACTATTTTAATAAAACCCTACAACAAAACCAGGATAAAAGACCAGCCAGAAAGTTTACAAATAGCCAAGTGACAGAACCACACTAAAAATAGCAATTACAGCAGCCAAACCAATTTTTAAAGGTTTTTTCTTTTGCTTATGCAAACAAAAGCATTTCCATTATTGCAGTTCATAAAAATAACTGTAATTTCTTCTTCAACAGAAAGTTGTTTTAAAAGCTAGAGGGAAAAAAGCAGATAAACAGAAGTGAGTTAATTACTCTGCCTTCCTCAAATGCTTTGGTAAGGCCTGACTGTCATGATAAAATAGGTTTGTGGATTAATTGGATTATCCATTGGAAATGTCCTCTTCAGGAGACACAAACTAACCCAATCCCAGATGTGAGTTGGAGAGATGAACAAACTGGATTTGAGAAGAGATTAATACTTGAATAGCAAAGGAACTTGAACCTGAATTGTGGTGCATTGCTAAGATCCTGTGAGAAATGAGTGTGAGGTGACTCCCCTGCAGAAACTGCTCCCAAGGGACTATTTGCTGCAGGAATGACTATAGGAAAGGCTGAACTTTAATATATTTTGATAAGAAGTGGGTTTGCACATGCCTGTAACCTGCTCCATTATTTACCCTTGGTAAATAAAAAGAAAACACACAGAAATGCTGAAAAATCTATAAAAAAAATCCCCTGGGAATTCTGCTGTTCTTTGCACCACAATGGAATTGAAGGGCCTGTGCTTGAAAGGAGTAACATTTCGTGCTCTGTGGACTCGTGGTAATTAAACCTTTTATTCATTTCAGCATTATTAATTATTACCCTGGACTAATTCCAGCTTTAGTAATTACACTTTTCTTACCTACATTTTGTTCTATCCTAATTTTCAGGGCCTTTCTTTCCTGAGGAAAGAGGATCAGCCCAAGAGAGTCAGCAAAGAGCCACCCCCCAACTGCAGGAGCTGAGTCACATCAATGCTTCATCAGATTCCTTAATTCCTGCAAGGCTTTCCACCTCCTCATGGAAACACCAGTGCTCAGTGCTTTTCCCCATTTAAACCAGTAAAAGAACCGTAATTCTCCCTGGTGGGGATTAGAGGTCATTGCTCAACACGTCACACACGACGCACTGAGATTATTCACTCCAAGAGAGCTCAAAAATCATATTATTTCTTGAATGAGATAAAGAAACTATGAAAGAAGCACAAATATAACCTGCTACTTATCAGCTTCAAGCAAGCATCTCATTATCAGCATCTGCAGTTTGTTCTCTTCTAAAGAAAATCCTTAATCTAAGCAAAACAGGAGTTTTATGTAAATTAATTACAACAAAATATCCCTTCTGAATTAATGGACCTTTTGTGAGGCAAAAACACTAATCCCTGTTTATAAGGAAGCACAAGAGAAGACATTCTTTCCCTGCTGGAAAGACAGAGGCAGAGAAAACTGTTGCATGTTCACAAAACTGATTTAAAGATGGGATGAAACAGCTTGACAAACTCCAAACCTCCAAGGATCTTGGAAGAATAGAAAAGCAGTAGGTTCTTTTCAGAATACAAGATAGAAGAATTTCTTTTTTCATCTCAGAAGTTTTTTCCTCTGCAATGGGTCTACATATGATGAGATGTACCCGGAGAGCAGGATTAGATGGGATATTGGGAGGGAATTCTTCCTGTGAGGGTGGTGAGGCCCTGGCACAGGTTGCCCAGAGAAGTTGTGGCTGCCCCATCCCTGGAAGTGTCCAAGGCCAGGTTGGATGGGGCTTGGAGCAACCTGGAATAGTGGAAGGTGTCCCTGCTCATGGCAGGGGGTGGGATTGGATGAGCTTTAAGGTCCCTCCCAACCAAACCAGCTTGGAATTCTGTGACATTCTTCTAAAGAGTCAGTAGGTATCTGAAAAAAAGAGGTAGTTAAAATGCTACTGCAAAAAACCCCAGAATTTGTCTATATATAATTGGTAGGACAAATCAATTTTTAATTTTCTGTTTTTCAGGATAGATTAATTATGGATTTAATTTTTCTACCAAACAAGTTTTCCATGTAACGCTTCATTTAAGTGTTCTCATCTCAGAGAAGTCTTGGGTCCCTGTTGCACTGCATAACCTGAATGAAAATTCAAAGAGGACAAAACCCAACAGCTATTGGGGGACCAGCCTGTGCTATGTGACAGGGTATCAAACATAAAATCCCTCACGCTCTTGAAATTCCCTTCAGAAGACTCCAAGAAATCACTGTTTCAGTGATCTGTTAGTGCTAGAAGGTTACTCAGAAATGCTGAGAAATTAAAGAATTGAGAATTACTGAGAAAATAAAGAACTTGGAAGAGAGAACGGGAGCATTGCAAGGCTGAATTGAGCAATAATGGCAACATTTGCCAGAGGGTTCAGAAAATATTAATTATATTCAAAGCAGCAAAGAAGTCGCTTCAGTGACTCCCTTGTGCTACTTCACAGATAAGTGATGATTTTTCTGTTCTTTCTTTCTTTCTCTTATTATCAGCACAATCAACAAAATCAATATGCAAGTATGTTGGCTCTTCTCAGCAAGTTACACGATCCATCTTGGAAATCACAAACATATCAATCACTGAACTGATACCACTTTTCATCATCTCATTATGGTTCTCCCAGAGGTGTTTTACCACTCGAGAAAAGATGGAAGTACAGAGAAGCTTCTTTAGAGCCAGAGCACCCCCAAAAACCCGTCCCACCCAGAGTCTCCAAAGTGGAGACCCTCAGCTGATCCCAGCCAAGGCCACTCATCCCTGACAACTCCCAGTGGATCCGGCATTCCCAGAGCTCAGAGCCAGACTGGACACGGACACAGCACCAGTTACTGACACGAGAGGAGGCTGAAACCCAGACTCCCGAGCTCTTTCTTTTCCTGGTATCACAGAACCAGGGAATGGTTTGGGTTAGAAGAGACCTTAAAGCTTATCCACTTCCATCCCCTGCCATGGGCAGGGACACCTTTCACTAGATGAGGTTGCTCCAAGCCCTGTCCAACCTGGCCTTGGACACTTCCAGGGATGGGGCAGCCACAGCTTCTCTGTGCCAGGGCCTCCCCACCCTCACAGCCAAGAATTCCTTCCCAATATCCCATCTAACCCTGCCTTCTGGCAGTGGGAAGCCATTCCGCCTTGTCCTGTCCCTGCAGGCCCTTGTACCAAGTCCCTCTCCAGCTCTCTTGGAGCCCCTTTAGGCACTGGAAGGGGCTCTAGGGCCTTCCTGGAGCCTTCTCTTTTCCAGGTGAACGCCCCCAGCTCTCCCAGCCTGTCTCCAGAGCAGAGGGGTTCCAGCCCTTGGAGCATCTCCATGGCCCCTTTGGACTTGCTCCAGCAGCTCCATGTCCTTCCCGTGCTGGGGACCCCAGAGCTGGAGGCAGCACTGCAGGTGGGGTGTCACCTGAGCTCGTAGAGGGGCAGAAAGCAGGACTGCAATCTCTGCTGCATCAATGCACCTTCCCACCCAGATATCTTCCTGGGAAAAAAAGAAAATCTTGAAGGAAGAGGGCTGCTGCTTTTCAAACAAAGAATAAGCAGATTACATGTCAT